TTTGCACCAGAGGGTTCCACAGGCCTGCCTCAAACTCAGCCCGTGTTCCTCACGTGAGTGAGTGTGAACATGGCACCTCCACCTGGCTGCCCTCCCCAGCAGCCAGTGCCTCTGCCTGCACCCCACCCCTAGTCTAGCAGCACTCCCCTTTCCCAGGCTTTTTATTGATGCATCACGACTTTTTCTTCTACCTCTTTAAACCCTTCAGATTCTCTTGCTTCGTCCCCCTTCCCTGGCTCAGGCCTCTCACCTGGTCACCTGCTGGATCCTTTCTCCACAAAGCAGGGAGCGGGGTGGGGCGATCTTTCCAAAGTACACATCAGATCACATCCCTCCCGTCAGAATGTCCCTGTTTTCCTCTTGCCGCTGTAAAACATTACAACAGACTTGGCGGTTTAAAACAATGCAAATGTACGCTCTTCCATTCTGAAGTCCAGAAGTCTTGAAATCAGTTTCCCTGAGCCAAAACCAAAGTGTGGGCAGAGCTGCGCTCCCTCCAGAGGCTCTGGGGGGAATCGGTGTCCTTTCCTTTCTCAGCATGGGGAGTCGCATTCCTGGGCTTGTGGCCCCTTCCTGCATCTTTATCCACAGTGGAGCATCTTCACATCTCTCTCTCTGCTGAGGTTGTCCTGTCGCCTTCTCTCTAGGACACTTCTGATGACATTTAGGGCCCACCGGATAATCCAGGATGGTGTCCCCATTTCAAGATCCTCCATTTAATCACATCTGCAAAGTTCTTGTTACCATATAAGGTAACAGTCACAGATTTCAGGGATTGGGACCTGGATGTGGTATTTGTCCTACCGCACCCGCCAGGGCATGTCCTTGCCTTCCAGATGAAGTCCAAACTCCTCAACATGTCAAGGTCCTGCTCGTGCCACCCCATCTTGCACAACTCTGTGGTGCATACTCCTTCTTTCTGCCTGGACCTCTCCACCCTCTCTTTTGCAACACCATCTTGTCACTGAGGTCTCAGTTTGGAGGTCACTTCCTCTGGAAAGCCCCCAGGACCCACCCCAATCCAGATTAGGTGACCTTCCTGTGTGGTACCATAGCACCTAACCTCCCTGGATAGAACCCTCTGTCCCCCTCCTCCCGGACCATGTAGCCCTGAGGACAGGATCGTGCCTGGGTATTTTGCTGTTGAAACACCATCAGGAAATATCATAAATGTTTCCTGAATGGGTACATTTACACATGCAGAGAAGAGGTACATTTTTTTTTTTTTAAATAAATACTCAAGAGTTATGGGTAATTGTCACTTTAAAAAGAAACCCATTCTCACTAATTTGACTTTCCTTTTTTCCTTTTTGTGCAGTACATATGTACTCTCATTTGTGTGATTAGATTATTTTTCCTTTTTGGAAAAGAAAAAAATTAAATTTAAAATTTAGAGAGATCAGCTGTGTTCTCAGGGTGCCACCTTTGGATGCGTGGGTGGAGTCTGAGTCTTCTGAGTGAAACTCACTCTGCTCCCCTCCCCCCACCCATGGCCCTTCCTTAGTATGTCTTTGTATTAATATTAGTTTCCTGTGTGGTTGCCATAGCAAATTACCAACACTTAGGGGCTTGAAATAACACAGATTTCTTATCTTACAGTTCCATAGGTTAAAGGTCTGCCACAGGTCTCACCAGGTTGCTATTATCAGGGTATCAGCAGAGCTGTGTTCTTTTCTGGAGGCTCTAGCTTCTAGAGGCTTGTTCCTTGGGTCATGGATCCTTCTTCCAGCTTCAAAGCCAACAGCAGCAGGTCCAGTTCAATAACCCTAACTCTTCTGCCTTCCTCTTCTACTTAAAAAAAACTGTGGTAAAATACATATAAAATTTACCATCTTAACCATTTTTAAGTGTACAGTTCAGTGGCATTGAATACACTCATGTTGTTGTGCAGCCATCACCCCCACCCAACTCCAGAACTCTTTCATCTTGCAAACTCTGTACCCACGAAACACTAACTTTCCATCTCCCCTTCCTCCCAGCCCCTGGCAACCGTGAATCTACTTCCTGTCTCTGATTTTGACTGCTCTAGGTACCTCATAAAAGTGGAATGTGTGTCTTTTGTGTCTAGCTTATTTTACTTAGCATAATGTCCTCATCATTCATCCACGTTGCAGCATGTGTCTGAATTTCCTGCCTTTTGAAGGCTGAATACTATTCCACTGTATGTGTATACTACTCTTTCATCCATCCTTGGACACTTGGGTTTCTTCCACCTTTTGGCTATTGTGAATAATGCTGCTGTGAACATGGGTGTGCAAATATCTCCCCAGTTCTCTGATTTCAGTTCTTTTAGGTGTATACCCAGAAGCTGGATCCTATGGTAATTCTGTTTTTAATTTTTTGAGGAATTGCCATGCTGTTTTTCATAACAATGGTGCCATTTCGTATTCCCCAGAACAGTGCACAAGGATTCCAGTTTCTTCACATCCTTGCCAACTCCTATTTTCTGATTTTTTGTTTTTAATAGTAGGCATCTTAATGGGTATGAGGTGGTATCTCATTGTAGTTTTGATTTGCATTTCCCTAATGATTAATGATGTTAAATATCTTTTTATACGCTTATTGGCTATTCGTATATCATCTTTGGAGAAATGTCTGTTGAAGACCTAGGTCAATTTTTGAATTGGGTTTTTCATTATTTGTTGTTGAATTGTAAGAGTTCTTTATATATTCTGGATATTAACCCTTCATCAGATACATGATTTGCAATATTTTCTCCCATTCTTTGGGTTGCCTTTTCACTTTACTGATTCACTTTTAAGAACCCTTATGATTACACTGGGCTCCCCAAGACAATCCAGCATTACCTTTTGACTTTGGGGAGGGCCCTTATTCTGCCAACTACAGGCCTCAACTCCCTGCTCTGGCCTCTGCTAGGGCCCATTTCATGCCTCCTTCACCAGCAGCTAAAAGGAAGAGCACACACGTCTTCCCAGTGAGCTCGTGAGTTCCTGGCCTCTTCCATGTTAATTTGAGATATCTCCTTCCATCTCAGTTTTTGCCTAGACTTAAAGAACGGAGAGATTGGCAGCTGGTAGGTGGACAGTGGGCACCTTCACCTGCATCTGAGTCCCCAGTCCCCTGGGACCACCTGGAGCCCCTGGCAGTGGGTGGCGGCAGGAAAAGGCTTCCATTTGCTCTGAACATGTCTCCCCACCCCCGACAGATGCGTGCCTCTGGCTCTTCCCTGCCTTCCTTGGAGCCACCCAATGTCTAACCCCTTTCGCTCCAGTTACATATATTATATAATTGTCAACAGTCCAGAAAGGTATAGTAAAGTAAAAGGGAAAATAAAAAAAAAAATCACTAGTACTATAAACAAATGTTGAGCTCAATTTAATGATATGCATACTGAAGTATTTAAGGGAAAGTTACTGATGTCTATAATTTACCTTGAAATGCATCAAAAATAACATGGATTGGTGATTGGATAAAAGGATGCATAGATGAATAGATATACAATGGAGTGAGCATAGTATAATGTTAAGGATAGAATAGCCATGGACACATGGCTGGTTACTGTTCCTTCTTTCTTTCTTTCTTTCTTTCTTTCTTTCTTTCTTTCTTTCTTTTCTTTCTTTCTTTCTTTCTTTCTTTCTTTCTTTCTTTCTTTCTTTCTTTCTTTCTTTCTTTCTTTCTTTCTTTCTTTCTTTCTTTTTCTTCTTTTCTTTCTTTCTTTCTTTTCTTTCTTTCTTTCTTTTCTTTCTTTCCATAAGTGTTTCTCTGTTGTGTAGGCTGGAGTGCAGTGGCCCAGTGGCCTGATCATTGCTCACTGTAACCTCGAATTCCTGGGCTCAAGTGATCCTCCTGCCTCAGCCTCCTAAGTAGCTGGAACTACAGGTGCATGCCACCACACCCAGCTAATTTTTAAATTTTTCATAGACACAGGGTCTTGCTATATTTCCCAGACTGGTCTTAAACTCCTGGCCTCAAGCAATCATCCTGACTTGGCCTCCCAAAGTGCTGGGATTACAGGCATTAGCCACAGCATCCAGCTGTCATATGTCTATGTTTGAAGTTTTTCATAATAAAATGTTTATGAAAAATTGCTGGTAATGCCATTACCCAGATAGAGCCAGCTTTTTATTCATTTATGTATCTATCTATATATATAAGTGCCAGCAGTTCTTAACCGGAGGTGATTTTGCCCCCAGGGACACATAGTAATGCCTGGAGACATTTTTGATTGTCATAGCTGGGGCGGTGCTGGTGGCATCCAGGGGTAGAACCCAGGGATGCTGCCAAACATTTTCCAATGCACAGGACAGCCCCCACAACAAAGAATGACCCAGTTCCAAATGTTAACAGTACCGAGGCTGAAAAGCCCTGACATACATACACACAGATACACACATATCTCTGAATATACATATTCAAATATAAATGTGTATATATGTTTGTACATGTGCATATTGTACACTTACATTATTTTAAACAAAATTGAACTCATAGGTCTGTAACCTGCATTTTCATAATGTATTATTTTCTTAAATAATTAAATTGCCTTTTACATTGTCATATTTTAATGGTGATTGTAGGCATATATGCTGTGATTTATTGCACCCAGCTATATTTGGGCATTTTTAGGTGGTTTACCCATCTCTGTATACCTCAGTAGAATCTGACAGACAGGTCTCTATTCTGTCTTGTGAAGGTCCCTTCAGAGAGGAGGACTCGTCGGTCGTCCTTGAAATCAACTTGAGTGTCAGCGTTCTCTGCGGCTGGGGCATTTGTCCTCAGACTGTAAAGGGTTGTCGTCTTTCCTTTGGGTGTTTTCCCCAGAGGCTGTTGCAAGCAGAGGCAACAGCCAGCAATGTGGCATCTCACTCGTCCTAGGCCAGTGTTAGAGCCGTGTGGAGCTGGGGGGAACGAAAGCTATGTCATCCAATTTTGTGTCCTCCACTCCCACGCCCCACCCCCACCTCCCTGCTGCCCAAGTTCTGCTGAGTTTCCAAGGACACAACCTGCCATTAACCTCTGTCTTCTCCTTTCAATTATAGGCCTCTCCTTCTGATGAAAAGAGAAAGGAAGAATGGACTACAGTCACCAAACTTCCCTGGTCCCCTGTGGACAAGATAAATACATTTCCAAGTAAGATGTTTTGCTGCAGTGCTCTGTCTGCAGTGGCCTATCCTGTGTTGGGACGCTGTGGGTGGATGGCAGCCTCTGGCAGAGGGGCCTCCTCTGTACATCAGACAGCCGGGGCTCCCGCGTGTGAGAAGGAGCAGAGCAGCTGAACTTGGATTTAGTGAGACCATCAGCAAGGCTGCTGCCATAGATAAGGACACCCCCCCGCCAAGTCTGGAGGTTGAAGTAAAGGGAGGGTCAAGATGTGGGACCTTCGGGGGCTGGAAAGAAGTGGTGTCCTGGAAGGCTTCCAGGAGAGAAGTTGGCTGGTGGCTCTTTGCTGTGGTCTGAATGTTTGTGTCCTCTCCAAATTCATATGTTGAAACCTACCCCCAAGGTGCTGGTATTAAGAGGTGGGGCCTTTGGGAGGTGACTAGATCTGAGTGCCCTTGTACAAGAGGCCAAGGGTGCTTTTCTGCCCTTCCGCCATGAGAGCAAGCAGTGAGCAGTTGCTGTCTGTGAGGGCAGGGCTCTCACCAGATACTGAATCTACCTTGATCTTGGACTTCCCGGCCACCAGAACCATGAGCAATAAATCTCTGTTGTTTATAAGCCACCCAGCCTACGGTATTGCAGCCTAAATGGACTAAGACACTACTCACTGTCCTGTCTGTGGTGTTCCCCAGGGGACTCCCGGCTGGGGTAATGTCTCCCTGGGCTGCTGTGATTCTGGCTACAATTGGCACAGGTGCCCTCTGAATAGAAGAGGACAGTTTCATTGCTTTCTATGCACTAAAGTCTCTTGAACTCAGCCTTTTTGCTAATGTGACGGGTTGTGCCAAAATGAACTTTTTCAAATTGTGAGTTTGAGAATATATTTTTACGTCCAGCACTGGATGCTCTCTGTATCTTAATTAAATGTTTAATTGATCTGAGACTAAATTGCTTTAAGTCCGTAGACACACTCGGTCATACACAGACACCAGTTGTGTGAGATCCAAATCATTCTTATCTCTTTATTGAAAGATTTTCCCAGGGACTTTCTACTGACCAGAAATTTTAAATCCTGGCTTCAGACCTGTGTGTTCAAAAGTACCAAATAGCTTTTTGTTTTAGATTACTTGGAATCGCATTTTTCACTAATTCATTTCAGCTGGCATAGAATGATTCCAGTTTATCTAGGTTTAACTTGTCAGGAGTTGCTTGGAATTTCCAGCAGGTTTTGACTTCTGGTGTGGTCCAAATACCTCTCCATTGCACGGCTGGGTTTAGGGGGACTGAACTCTGTCACCTCTTGCCTGAAAATAGGCAAAAGCACCCAGCAGCCCCCTCTGCCTCTCTCCGCTCTCATCCCTCGTGGAGTGCAATAACACGCACTTTTAGGTAAAACTAGATTTGTGTATTCCACTGTTGCTGGGAGTTTGTAAGTCTTAAACACATGATAAGATGGTGTCTATGAAGCATAAGTCAGTGAGGCCCAGACCTGTCCCTTTTAATCTGCCGAAAAGCCTAGAAGTTTCTGGGGCTCGAGAAGGCCTGCAGTAATTGTTCTCTCCTCACTCAGCGTGCTTGAGGTGGGAAAGGCCAGCAGGGGCAGGAGAAACCGTGTCTGTGGGCTTCGAAGTATGTCTGTCTCTGTGAATCTGTAGCTTATTAACACCTGATTATTCAGCGTGGGTTGGCGGGGTGCTGTCTGCAGACAAGGCCTGCCCCGGCGTTCTGGAGTTGCCCCCTACCTTCAGCCTGCTCTGAGGTGGTGTTTACTCTTGACCTTGATTCTGGGGAGGATGGTGATGGGGCGGCAGTGGTAGAATTCTGCGTGTGCCTGTGTGTGTGGGTACACACATGTGGACAAAGCGGGGTGACTGAAGACCAGGTTAGAGGTGACATAAAGAGGGAGCAACTGCACTATATGTGGCTTCAGCTGAAAATGTTACACCCCTTGTATCTTTTTCCCCCTAAGGAATGAACTTCTCTTGCATCTGAAGACCTACAATTTGTACTACGAAGGCCAGAATTTGCAGCTCCGGCACCGAGAGGTAAGGAGTCCGCAGGGAAGGCCTGTGAGTCTCCTGCCCTGGATGGCTGGCCCAGTCTTTGTCCACGTGTGTCCTCGGTCTAAGGGTTCCTGAGGTCCCAAGAGGTCATAACCTCTCCTGCCACAGTCAGTGGCCTCTCATTTAGGCTGTTCCTTCCAAAGAACTTCAAGAGTCCTTGGGATTCTTTGGAAGGAGACCCCAGCCCCAGTTTTGTTCTAAAAAGGATGAGTTTTTCTGTTCCATTCCTGCGTGTGTGTGGCTGGGCTAACACAACGTTGAAGGGGAGATTTTTCAGAGGGAAGCTTTCATGAAATCACTCTTTCAGAAGTCTCCCAAGCAGACTTCCTCTTGTTGGGCAATTTAGGAACCTTACCCAGTCCTCTAGGTTTACACGTCTGGGCCCAGTTCGCTGCAGGGACCTGGACGAGTCACACAAGCTCTGAGTAGTTGGCTTTTCCCCACAACTGCAGTGCGTTTTCTCGGCTGCCTTCCTGAAATGCCCTTTGTTACCCATCTGATGTTCCCCACCCCCAGCCTGAATCTAAGCTTACTCATCCTGTATACATTTCTGTAAAGCCTGTTATCAGATAGAAGATGACTTATAAAGGAGTCTGATAGAGTAATTTATACTCAAGTGTTCTTGACTGATAAGAAGGTCCATATGTATCATACCCTTGGAAACACATTTTCAGGTCAGCAAGCCATGGTGATTTAATCCATAGAAACAGATAGCAGCTGATGGAATTTCAGCTACGAAGGCAGGCCGGTTGGGGACAATATGTGGATGCAGTGGCCTTTTCTGTGTCCCTCAAACCACTTCACTTAGGCAAAGTCTTGTTTCGGGTTAAACTCTGTCCTACAATTGTGTAATGTAAAGTAATGATACCCACCCAGACCAGCTGGAAGGCCATATATATATAGCTATGCGTACATAGGCCTTTCTCCCCAAAATCCCCAAATGCCCTGAAGTTGTTCCATCCCTCTTCTACCTTCTTCTATGTCCCCCTGCCTCCCTAAGGTGACCCACATTAGTTGCTCATGGGGCAGATGTCATTTTCACCCAGAGGCTTGTCCTGAAGATGGGCCATGACCCAAGTCTGACACTTATGGCCCTGCCTGTAAAGCATGGATTCAGAAAGGTTGTTCGGAGACTGGGGAAGGACAGCCTGACTCTTTTAGGCATTGTCCTCAGAGCATCTACTAATTAGTGGCTGGGCCATGGGCAAGATTTTGGTTCTTAAATAGCTTTCCTGGGGTAAGTCCTATAGAATAAATCCTCAAAGTGCTCCATGATTAAAGAGTGTCATGGTCATAAATGAGATCCATTTCTTTGGGACAGAACATAAAAATGCCCTCGGATGGGTTTTACATTTAGCTTATTAGTCAGTAACCTTGGAGTGTATAAATTGGGAACTCCTGCAGGATTTATTCACCTCTTAAAGAGTTGTCATGTAGCACATTAGCTTATTATAGGCTCTGGGACATTCTGCTGTTAGGAAATCTGATTAATGCAGCCTCTCCCAGCTCACAATCACTTGATACTCTTTTTAAGGCAACAGTTCATCAGGCAGAGAGTGAACCTGAGGAAATGTTGCTTTAAATCTCCTTCATCTAGTGCAGCGGTCTCCAACGCCCAACCTTTTTGGCACCAGGGACTGTTTTCATGGAAGACAATTTTTCCATGGACTGGGGAAGGTGGGGATGATTTCTGGATGATTCAAGCACATAACATTTATTGTACACTTTATTTCTATTAGTATTACATTGTAATATATAATGAAATAATTATACAACTCACCATAGGTTGGAGACCCCTGATCTAGTGGGTCAGATTGCTAAACATGTGTTTTAGCTAAAGACATCATTTCCCATAGTAGGGGAGGGGCAGTAGCTAACTCAAGAATTCAGCTCTTGCTTCTGTTAGCAAAACTAGTCTCACTTATTTTAAGAGATGTATTCTGCTGTCTTTAAAAGTCATTAGTACTTTTTTTTTTTTTGGCTCTTCCTTTTGCTCTCCCTTTGCTGTGACAATGGGTCCAGTTGTCATCTGTGGCATATGTATCTTGCTCTGCAAGCCTATATCTTGCTCTTGGTCTATAATCCTATCTTGCCTCAACAAACCTCATTTTTGTGCTTGCTTTAAAAAAAAGTCATTAGTACCAAAGCAAAAAAAAGTTTTATAATTTGCACATGTATATTTGCATTTCACAGCAACTTTCGTGCTGACCTGTGAGGTCAGCTTCAAGGTCTGGGGTAGTTTGGAGTAGAGACTGTCTCGGAGTTGGAGTGTGGACTAGGCAGCTGCCCACATCCTGTGAATTCAATCTGGGTACACCCAGCAAGGACACATGAAAAATGCTGCCATTTGTCCCCCAGCGTGGTCCTGGCTTCTGTGGGACTTTTCTGGGCTCACTGTGCGATTGCTCTGTGGGCAGGAAGAAGATGAGTTCATCGTGGAAGGACTGCTGAACATCTCCTGGGGCCTGCGCCGGCCCATTCGTCTGCAGATGCAAGATGACAACGAGCGCATCCGTCCCCCTCCGTCTTCTTCCTCCTGGCACTCCGGCTGTAACCTGGGGGCCCAGGGGTGAGTGAGATGAGATGGGGGCTGGAAGACAGGGGTGCCTGGGGGCTCTTTGTGTTCTCAGCAGGTCAAGGCCACCTTGTCCCAGCCAGCCTTCATCCTGGCTCCTGTCCCACCACTTCCGCCGCCTCATCCCCACTTTGGGTTTGGGATAAGGAGAGAGGGGCAGACACTGATGTGATGGGGCCTCTGTCCTGTCGCCACAATCGCTGAGTGAGGTCACAGGGTGGAGAGGAGCTGTTGAGTCAGAGGGGGAGCCCCATGCCAAGGCCAGGGTGATAGCGTGCCCCCCTTGTGGAGAATTCTGGAGTCTCTGAGGGGTGTTGCTAGTGGCTGGCTAGGCCCAGCCTGCAGATTTCTGACCAGACGCCCAGGGCCCCTGCATCCTCCCGGCTGAGCTTGCTCCTTATAGAATGGCCCCGCTCCAGAGACATTTAGGACTTGAACCTTCTGACCAAGTCTCAGGGAACCTGCAAGGGGAAAAGGAATGTCAGACCTCTCTGACCCAGCCAGTGAGGCCAGCCAGGACCCTGCTCCCTTCAGACCACTCCTGGAGCAAGTCACCAGGTGATGGCCAGCAGTCTGGGAAGTCCCCTCCTCTGGGTCCCCACTGGAAGGTCTGTGAACCTAGCCTGTTCCTCCCCATTCTGCACGGCCAAATGAGTAGCCCTTCGGCACACCCTTTTATTGTCTTTCTGGGTCTTCAGTTTTCGGGATCAAGTGACTAGCCTTGTTCCATCCTGGAACTTGCTGTCGCTGACAGCCTTCAGGCCAGAGCCTGGGTGGAGCGCGCCAGCCTCCGAGCCAAAACCACAGTGATGTTATTTCCAGTTTAAATGAGAACCAAGCCCTCTCTCTTGGCCGCATTGAACGTTTTGTTCAACTCCACAGCCAAATCTATCTTTCTGTACAATTGAGAGAAACCTAGAATGTGGCCAGACCCTGGAGCTGATCTGGTTTCTTTCCAAGGAATTTAAGGAGGAAAGTTCTTGCCCATCCCATTGGGCGCTGGGAGGTCTGGTCAAGGTTCTTTGGTTTCATCTAACTTTGCTGGAGTCACGCTCTGCTTTGATTCGGCATCATCACTGTATTTGATTTCCAATGGGCCAAACCCTTTTCACAGCCCAGCCCTGAGCCCCAGACCATTCCATTCCATTCCATTCCATTCCTATTACATTCCATCCGGAGGGGCTCTGACCACATCCATTCTGCAGCTCAGAAATTTATGAGTTATATCACAATAGGAAGTTCTTTCAGATTTCCAATTTTAGTTGTCTTTTCTGAAAACTACCATCTCTGGAACATGAAGCCTGTCTCTACTGGGTCCCAGGGAGACCATGCTCTTCTCACCATGGGATGGTCCTAACTGGTCAAATATGATTCAACTTTACCACCAAATCCTCTGTTGATTTTGGGTATTTCTCTCTATGCTACTCCCATTGTTCCTTTTCACCTTGAGAAGTTATTTGCCAGCTATCACAGCAAACCCCGGTCTTAGCTTGGACTGTCTGCTTGTGACCCTTTCTCTAGCTTGGCGGAGGACTCTGTCCTTGTAACCCTGAGAACACTGTCATCAGCGCCCCTTCCAAAGCCACTCCGACCCTGTAGCCATCAAATATTACCTTTCATTCCCTTCAGATGGCAGAAGCAATTTTTGAGTTATTCCTCCAACAGAGATGGATCTGAACTGGAATCCTGTCCTGCGAAACAAACGGCCATTATTAGGGTTTTCCAAATAACACATACGTGCTTAGAAACTCAGTGCCGGCAACACACGGGTTTTGTTCTTTGGTGTTCTTCATCCTGGGCTTGATGAATTGGGTGCTTGTGTTGCTGCAGATGCTGGGAAAGAACATCTCCCTCCAGAACTGCCCCCTCCCCAGCCGCTGCTCAGCCTGGGAGCTGGGCCAGCCTGGTGGGATGCTCAGGGCAGCCCACGTGCATCCTTCCTTGCCTGATGGGTGCTGGTACCCAGCCTGGCACAAGCAAAGTCCTCCCCTTGCAGGAATGGGGTGGGGTGGGTTGGGGTGGGAGCGGGGGCGTCTCCCTGCAGGGGCTAAACCAGTCTCCTTTTTGTTTGTCTCTACTCGCCTCCCCCCCACCATAGCACCATCCTGAAGCCCCTCACCACGCCCAGCATTCAGATCTCAGAGGTGGATGCACCGCCCGAGAGTGACCAGACACTGAGTACCACAGGTACGTGCGTCGTATGTAGAAGGAACTTTGCGCTAGGGGCCAACTGCGTGAAGACCGCTGTGATAGCTCTTGTAAACAGGCATTTATTTTTGAAAATATAAAATTTATATGGTTCAAGATTCTAGCCTGGGCACAGGGGTTTACGCCTGAAATCCTAGCACTCTGGAAGGCCGAGGCAGGAGGATTGCTTGAGCTCAGGAGTTTGAGACCAGCCGGAGCAAAAGCGAGACCCCCATCTCCACTAAAAATAGAAAAATTATCTGGGCTCACTGGTGCGCACCTGTAGTCCCAGCTACTCAGGAGGCTGAGGCAGGAGGATTACTTGAGCCCAGGAGTTTGAGGTTACAATGAGTTGTGATAACACCACTGCACTCTACTGGGGCAGTAAGACTCTGTATCAAAAAAAAAGAAAAGAAAAGAAAAGAAAAACTAAAGGTATTACAAAGAAAGAATTAAAAGTTACCCACCTCATCTGCCCACCTAGAAGCCAACCAAGAACATCCTCCCTGGGGTATTCCATGCACATATAAGCAAATTCACACCAACATACTTTTATAGTTGGATGTAATTTCTTTTTTTCTCCTTTTTATTGATATGTACGTGGTAGCATTTTGCACATGGCTTTTTTCATTTATCAGTTTATCTTAGGGATTGTTCCATACAAATCTGTAAAGAACTTCCTCCTTCTTTACAGCACTGCATTATTCCACTCTATGGAAAAATGATAATTTATATAATCACACCCTATTGATAGATAGTTAAGTCAAGTTCAGTCTCTGCTGTGACAAACAAGCTTGCAGCAGCAGCCTTACACACGTATCATTTTGCGTATTTTTTTTTTTATTTTTTTTATTTTTTTTATTTTTTATTTTAGCAAATTATGGGTGTACATACGTTTAAGTTACGTGTGTTGCCCTTGGTTCCCCCCCCACCAAAGTCCGTGTTTCAAATATGTCCATCCTTCTTTATCAGTGTGTCTGTGGGATTCTTTCGAGTGGAATTTCTGGGTTCGAGGCTATGTGCATTTGTAATTTTGATAGATATTATCAATTTGCAATATCTTTTTTAACATAACATTGATTAAAACTATTTTAATAAAACAGATTAACCTACTTGTGTTTCACTATTTGGTTAATGTCAATATTTTCTTTTTATACACACAAGGACAGAAATATGTCATATTATATTTGTTTATATTTATGTGCCCTATTAAGCATTTTATTTCCAATTTGTTATTGTGGTAAAATACACATAACGTAAAATGTGCCTTCTTAACCATTTTTTAGTGTACAGTTCAATGGTATTACGTACATTCATAATGTTGTGCAACCATCACCACCGTCTGTCTCTAGAATCTTCTCGTCTTGTAAAACTGAAACTCTACATCCGTTAAACAGTAACTCTCCATTTTCCTACCTCCAGCCCCTGGCAACCACCATTCTCCTCTCTGTCTCCTATGATTTTGACTACTCTAAGTACCTCATATAAGTGGAATCATTCAGTATTTGTCTTTTGTGATTGGCTTATTTCACTTGGTGTAATGTCCAAAATGTTCATCCATGTTGTAATGTGTCAGAATTTGTTTGCAGTATCTTGCAAGCCCTGATACTGTGCTTATCCTGTGACAGACACTGTTCTAAGTGCTTTATGTATATTAACTCACTTAAACCCTCACAACAATCCCATGAGGTGGGTGTTATCATCATGCCCATTTTATAGATGAAAAAAACAAGGCATGGGGAGGTAAAAATAAGGCAATAGGGGAGCTGGGATTTGAACCCAGGTAGTCTGGCTCAAAGTCTATGCTCTGAACCTTTTCACTGCATAACTTCTCAATCAATTGTGCATTATGTTTTTCCTCCAGCAGAAAACACTATTTTTATAAAATCTATATATTTTGAGGCAGTGGTGCTGTAGCGTTGGCCACAAAGGGGGAGCCATGTGCAAGCTGGCCCGGGTCCAGACGGACAGCTCGTTTTCCTCTTTCCTCTCAGACGCCAGGGGTCTGAAGCCCCTGCAGGAAGACACCCCACAGCTGATGCGCACACGCAGTGATGTCGGAGTGCGTCGCCGGGGCAATGTGAGGACACCTAGTGATCAGCGGCGAATCAGACGCCACCGCTTCTCCATCAATGGCCATTACTACAACCATAAGGTAGAGTGGACAGGGGGTGGGAGAGGGGGGCAAGTCCCCTTCCTGGGCAGCTGCCACCTCAGGGCTATAGCCACACGGTCTGAGGTGGGACCCCTGGGAAGCCAAGCGGTGCTGTTTAGACTTTGGGTGGCAGGTGGGCTGCAAGCTCTGCTGGCTTCCTGAAGGATGAGGGTGCCTAGTCAGAGACTCTGAGACCTCCCTAGGGTGGTGGGTGAATTCAGGGGCTGTGTCAAGCAGGCCCTGCTGTAGCCTTGAAGAGCCCACGAACACACCTCTCGAATCCCTCCCAGGTAAAGCTATGTGTTCTGTTCTTCCTGCACACTGTGCCTGCTGGCTGGTGCACGGTCTGACATTCCCTGAGCTAAGGGCTGCCTCCGAAGCAGAGCTGCAGGCCCCAGATCTGGGGGTGCCAGCGCACCACCCACCCCACCCCAAGTTAGCCGACACCTCCTTCCCCTCCTGCTGCTTGGTTCGCTTCCTACGCCCAGAGGGAAGTGCGTGGTAGGAGAGTGGTCAGAGACCTCCCTGTGTAGAAGTCCCAGTGGAAGGGTCTTTGTGAGTGTTTTATTTGGAGAGGACCTCACTTATCGAGTCTGGTTCCCCCTCCCCAATCTTGCCATCTGGCAAGCTCAGACTTGAGCTACCTGCAAGAGCATGAACCAAATTAGGCGAACCCCAAGGACTGGCTGCTTGCCAGGCCGCCAGGGGGCTTTCCAGGAGTACATTTCGAGTACCATTTTAGAGTACCAGTGTCACTGTGCCCTATACTGCATGTGGGTTTTAGTGTTTTGTCCTTGCCCACCCTGAGCTGGACCCCTCTATTGACAGACGTCGGTGTTCACGCCGGCCTATGGCTCCGTCACCAACGTCCGCATCAACAGCACCATGACCACCCCGCAGGTCCTGAAGCTGCTGCTCAACAAATTTAAGGCAAGTTCCCTTTGTTGGCTGGCCACAGATAGGGTCACACATGTGCTTTGGGGACCCCTAGAGGGGTAGTGGGGGAAGCTGTGGAGAGTGTATGGTTTGGGGGGCACCGGGCAGTGGGTTTGGGTTCTTTAGACTCCCACTGTTCAAGGAAGGTCCACAGCACCAGCATCACCTGGGAGCTTGCTGGAAATGCTGAGGGTGAGGCCAGGGCACCTGTTTAACGAGGCCTGCGGGGGATTCTGGTGCCTGCTGAAGTCTGAGAGGTATCAGCCCTCGGGTCCTTTATGGGCTGCTATGGAAGGGCCGTGGGACTTACTGATTGGTTTTGGACTCAGTGCACAGATTGACTTCTAGGACACAGTTGGGGAACCTACTTTGTAAAATGATACTTAAATAGATGTGCAAATTATGGCGCATGAATGCTTTTAAAATCCTGTTACTCTGTGTTTTCCACAACCTCCTTATAATTCTTTTGGAGACAAGGTAATCTTATTTTTACTGGAAGCCTGCGTAGCCTAGGGGCCTAAGAGCACGGTCTCTGGGTTCCAGTCCCCACCTATCATCTGCTAGTTGAATGAATTGGACAAGTTACTTAACCTGCCTCTGCTTCTGCTTCTTTATTCATAAAATGAGGACAATGGTACCTTGTCATGGTGTTGTCATGAATGTTGGATGAGTTAGAACATGTGAAATGTGTAGAATTAGGCTGGCACATTGCAATAAATTTTAGCTATTTTTATCTGTCATAGTCACGCATCATACAATGACCTTCTGGTCAATGACGAACTGAATATATGCTGGTGGTCCCATAAGATTATAATACTGTATTTTTACTATACCTTTTCTATGTCTAATATATTTAAATACACAAATACTTGCCATTGTGTTACAATTGCCTGCAGTATCCAGTAACCTGCTGTACAGGTTTGTAGCCTAGGAGCAGTAGGTTGTACCATCTGGGTTTATGTAAGTACACTCTAGAATGTTCACACAACGAAATCACCTAACAAATTTCTCAGAATGTCTCCCCATCGTTAAGTGAGACATGGCTGTATTATTGATAAAGTTATCCACCTGTCCCATCTCCTTGTCACTTCCGAGAGCTGTTGATATATAGCTTTCCCTTCAAAAGAGCCTAAAATCTATTTAGCTTTGCAGTGTTAAAGAAGAGGGAAAAGCTCAAAGTGAGGATGTTTAAATATGTGCTTTCAACTAGTACCTTTTGCTCCTGATTCAGATTGAGAATTCGGCGGAGGAGTTTGCTTTGTACGTGGTCCATACCAGTGGTGGTAAGTCTGATGACCACAGTGTACTTTAAAACTTCTAATTAACTCAAAATAGCAAGTTAAAAAAAAAAAATACCTCTGCCTTGCTTGTTGTTTGGGTTTTGGAAACTTCCAAATGTTGTTTGCCTCCAAGGCTGATGCGCTTTGCTGGTTGAATCCACTGGGAATGCCATATATGGTCAGTAAACAAACTCTAAAACCTAACTGCCTATTAAAAAAAGAACTTAATTTTCTTAAGAGATAGATAAACCCAATTCCTCTGAAGGGTTTGAAGCACCATAGTATTGTTGGGGGAAGGGGAGTGGGAGGAGGTTGTGTTTAATGACACCCGTTGAGTAGTTCATTTACAAATCAGTCTCCTAAATTGCCTGTTCCTTTGGGCCCCTGAGTTGACCACTACTCAAGATGAGAAAGGCCTCTAGCCAACCTCAGGGCTGCTTCTGGTTGTGTGTGGTTCCAGAGAAACAGAAGCTGAAGACCACTGATTACCCCCTGATTGCCCGAATTCTCCAGGGCCCATGTGAGCAGGTCTCCAAAGTGTTCCTTATGGAGAAGGACCAGGTGGAGGAAGTCACCTATGATGTGAGTCCCCTTTTGCTTGGGTGGTCTGCCCTCAGGAGGAGGGGGATTTGGTGATGTTACCTGCAACTGGGGTGTAGCATGAATTTTTGACCAAGGACTGTGTCCCCTTTCACTGCCATTGTTCAATACCAGGTGTTCATGAAGGTAGGGTAAGGGTGGGAGTTGCCCTGCGGGAGTTGTTGGAGGAATTCTCAGGCAGAAAGTGATTTCTATAGAAGGAATAAATTTCTTGTGCCTTTGTAGGGTACTATAAGAGGGCTGAGAAGTTTCTGTGGCCACTCACTTACTCATAGAATAGACTGCATCTCATAGACTGTAACTTCAAGAAGTTAGCAGTGTATTAGTCAGCTTTTGCTGCAGTAACAAACATCCCCAAATCCTAGTAGCTTACAAACAGCAGACATTTACTTTTTGGCTTGTGATTCTGTCAGCTGGTAGCAGGGGCTCTGCTCTAGGCTGTGGGTTAAGTTCAGTCTGCAATGCGTATCTCATTCAGAGGCTCAGGCTCCAGGGCATACTCCTCCTCCTGTGTATGCTCCTCCTGGGGGACGATGGAGCACAAGAAACCATGCCAAACCATGGAGTGCATTTGAAACCTCCACTCAGATTTGGCATATATCATGTCCACACACATTCCATTGGCCAAAGCAAGTCGCATAGCTGAGTTCAATTTTCACAGGGTGGAGAAATACACTTCTCCCCTGGAGGAGGGTCGATAGAAGAAGGGGGGTGGATTGTGGTGGGAGAGAGGAAGCTGATTTTAAACTTCAACTCACCTGGGAGCCACCCACGGCCTCTCTGAAGCAAGTTCACATTTGGATGCCTGTTTGAGCCTTGAGACCCAAATCGTCCCTCGGCACTATGGTTTCTTAAATGCTCTTAGTGGAGAACAAAAAGTTTTCTTAAATATCCTGGGATCTGTTCTTTCTCTACATTGATGTATCAAGAGAACGTGCTTTTCTGTGTTTGACATCACCCCATCATGGACTGGATATGTCAGATGAAAAATGAGAAGCTATGGGGTGGTGTCATGTACATGAAGAAATCTTCATCGCAGACTCTCTACCAGCTTTAAGAAGGATGAGTCTTGGTCCCCACCTTTAAGGAAATTCTGGGTTAGTGGAAAAATAGATCTCCCAAGGCTTTGTGCCTTGCATGTGAGTGATACCAAAAGGAACTGGAATAACACTGGGAGGGACATGCACCCCAGAACTTACTTTTTTCTCCCCAGGTGGCCCAGTATATAAAGTTCGAGATGCCTGTTCTTAAAAGCTTCATTCAGAAGCTCCAAGAGGAAGAAGATCGGGAAGTAAAGAAGCTGATGCGCAAGTGAGTGTGTTGGGTGGGTTTCCCCTGGGGCCTCAGCCAGAGGGACCTCTCTGTTCAGGTGCCTCACAGGGACTGTGTCGAGCTGCTACGTGGGCCTGGGTCTTATAGGCTTTCTTTGGGGGGCTTCCCACTGACAAATCTGGACCTCAAATGGGGACACAGAACTTAAGTGTGTTCATCTCTCTGCTTCTCGTGTCAGCTTCTCATTTCGATGTGGAATATCAAAATGTCTTTTGTCCCCCCCTTCTATGGAAGGACCCTGAAAAGAAGGTGTTGGTTTCAAATTTCTTTGGGGTCTAGATTCAGAAATGGGGGAGGTGACTTTATTCTTCTTTCCAAAGTGTGTGATCAGGCTCCCAGCAGGACACAGATGCCCACTCCAGGGCGAGTCTTTGAGGGGCATTTGATGAAGGGACTATTTATGGAGAATTGGGTGGAGTCTGGGGTCACCTCAAGGGATAGTGCAGCCCTGGGGTTAGCTGGTGTCACCACCCCTTGCCTAACTCTGGTTGAGGGCAAGGAGTGCTAACCAAGACCCAGAGGTTCTGAGATTCCAGGAAGGTTGTCTTAGCAGAAGTAGTCTGAGCAGCCTACCTCAAAAATCCTTTCTTCCCACCTTTCTTCCCTTTTAAACATTTCTTCTCTGAAAATTTCATTTGGATTGAAAAAATCCAGTAAAGCTTCTTTCTGGGGAGGATTTTATGATTTCTTTGCCTTGTTGAGTCATAGAATAAACTGTATCTCATAGATATGGTAGAGTAAGTGATTGATTTTTGCCACTGGAGAATAAAGCCAATGCTATATATCAATGATAATAACTAGAATGTTATCAGTTAACATTTATTGAACACTTACTATGTCCTAAAGTTTAAAAATAGCTTTTGCTGTGCAGTGCAAAGCCCTGAGCATAAGGAATATGCCCACGTAGCCCGGAACAACAGTGCCCACTCCAGTGTCTGTGGTGCCATGACTCAGGAAAACTGAATTCACCCACCAGCCACGGGCCTCCATGCCTAGTCATTGCTATGGCCTCTTCTGCAAAATGCAGTTTCCAATATAGGGTTGAAGCATTTGCAGTTGCCATTTTTGTAGGTCCTCCAAAAAGGTCAAATATTGGCAATTTCATATAATCCAGCCTATGTGAGAGTCAATGAGCTACTGTGTATAGAAAGTCTTATGTATAGTGTCTTGAGCATAGTAAACACTCAGTTAATGGAATGCTTATTATTGTTGTTATTTTTACCTTTTCATCCTCCTTTTGCCAGATTTTTTTTTTTTTTTTTTGAGACAGAGTGTCACTCTGTTGCCCAGGCTAGAGTGCTGTCACATCAGCCTAGCTCACAGCAACCTCAAACTCCTGGGCTCAAGCAATCCTACTGCCTCAGTCTCCTGAATAGCTGGGACTACAGGCATGCGCCACCATGCCGAGCTAATTTTTTCTATATATTTTTAGTTGTCCAGCTAATTTCTTTCTATTTTTAGTAGAGACGGGGTCTCGCTCTTGCTCAGGCTGGTCTCGAACTCCTGAGCTCAAATGATCTTCCCGCCTCGGCCTCCCAGAGTGCTAGGATTACAGGTGTGAGCACCACACCCGGCCCAGATGTTCTAACCATAGTAAAATAGTCTAATTTGGACTTGGCCTCTTTATCCTCTCTCATCCTGTTGTGGAAATGAACACAAGCAATACAGTGGCTAAAGAGTGGGCCAAAAATGGAAGTAAAGGGACAGGACACTCAGCCCACACCATTACCTGGTGTTACCTGGAGTCACCTTGGTGTCACCTGGGTGGCCAGGAAGGTCGTGAGGAGGGCTGTGTTGCTGCCTGCTCTCCACTGGGGCCTGTTTCTTGCCCCCAGGTACACCGTGCTGCGGCTGATGATTCGGCAGAGGCTAGAGGAGATAGCAGAAACCCCCGCAACAATCTGAGCCACCGGAGTGAGGGGATCCAGACACCCCAGGAGCCACCATTGACATGAGCAGACCCACAGAAGGCCGGATGCCTTCTTTCCATGGAAATGTTTAAATGTAAACCTCTCCAGCTCTGGACAAGCCACCGTTTGCTACCTGGAGCAGGATGAAGACGTCAGCAGACAGCTCCCCATCCCTGAACCCTGTTCTCCTTTCATTCACTCACAAGGACTTTTGATTTAAGGAGGACTCCAAATGCATGTGCGTGTTTTTACACTTGCGTGCAACACGCACGCGATACGTGTCTATGTGCCTACCTGACATTTTCACATGTGATTAAATTCCAAGCAACCAGCACAAGTGCCATGAGGCTGGCCCAGAAGTGCTGCCTGTGGGCAGGAAAATCAGAGGAGATGCTGATCTGAAGGGTTTTACATCAAAGAAAACCTCAAGTGCCATGGAGCAGCCACAGATATTTAGAAGGGGCAGGGGGTTCTCCAATCTTACCATTTGGGGTATTTATATGTTAGTTTAAATTCTCCCTGTATGCGTAGAAGGATCAGTGAATGTGAGACCCTTGGAAATTGACAAAATAACACCCCCAATACCCTTAGGGCAAGTCTGATGGAAAGAAAAAGATAACCCATCAGTGGGGTAGATGCAATAAGCCCACAAGTTTTTACACTGGAAACTGATTGTTTTGAATAACAAAGATGTATGGGATATTCTATGTGGACCCCTGTAAAGAATGGATTCTGCCTCCGTCCCACCTCCATGCCACCTCTAGGAGACAGAGGCCACCTGTGTGTCTCTCTGCATGCCAAGCTGCTGGCACATCTCCCTGCTGCTCCCTCAAGTGAAGGAAAGGTCTCATGAAACAAAGATCTTGGCAAGTGTGCACATGATGCTGAGCAGCGAGTGTGGCCAGAGCATGGGTCCTTCTGGTGTAGTGGCCAGGAAGTTTCCAAGTTCCCTCCTTCATGCTGAAGGGCAGTGGCTACCAGCAGAGACGACAGGTGCCATGAGCCCAGCCCGTCTCCATATCATCAAGGGTCTTCCTGCACTTGGTCTGGGGCTCTGTGTTTGAAGTTGAGGCTTTATTCTTTCCAGCCTCTTGGGTTCTTGCAAGTTGCCCTCACCTTGTGTGTGGAGATGGACTCCAAGAGCGAGGACTCGTCCTGCTACTGATTGAGGGTGGGGCTCAGGGAAGCTCTTTAGGTAAAGGTGCAGAGGAAGGACAGAACGTCTCTTTTGGCTTCTCTGAGCAGCCACACAGGTGATCTTTAGAGCCAGCCCCAATGAGAGGAAAGGTCAGAGATGGTCAGTCCACTGTGGCCCACATAGGGAAAATTGCCAGGCAGCTGAGTGCACCAGTGTGGCTGATACAGTTTGAGGAGGCACAGACGATGCTTGGAGCTGGGTGCCTGGCTGGGGAGATCAACTGGGCAAGACCAGGAGCTCCTAACAGCAGTGTCTCTGAGCCTTGCTGGGGTATGGGCCCTCCCCTTCTCTTCTCCACCTCCTATCCAAGGAAGGTTTGCAGAGCTGGGCAGTTGAGGAAAGGAGAGCCACTGGCCGGTGCCTCCAAAGGAAGGTGGACCCTTTCGGCAGAGCTGTTCCTGCCCCGGGCACCCTTCTGCCCCCTACTCATACCTATGGCCTTTGTAGAAGGCCCACAGCTGTGGTCTCCTGGTAGACTGCAAAAAAGATGGCATGCTGTCACCTGGCATTTTGCTGGGGGTCTCTCATGGGGACACTACCACCAGCCCCGTAGGGCATGGAGTGGAAACCCAGAGGGGCTTAGTCTCAATCGTACGTCTCAGTGGGCTCCTGCAAAATGCACAGAATTGGGGACAAAAAAGACAAGGAGAGGCTCCCTTTGTTACAGATGGGAAAGAGCAGCTTTGTGAATGCAAACATACCTCCTGAGTTTTGCATTTGAGAAGATGATTTGGAGAGCAGCTCTTCCAGTACTTTATATTTTGAATGTTCAAAGCCTTCGTTGGCCCCAGTAATTCTCCTTGGGGCCTGGGGGTGGGGGAGAATTTCCACAAAGCAAATTACTAACCACTAACTCTTACTGGACAGCTATTTCTGGTTTGTAAAAGTTCTCTTTAATTTGCACTAGCACTGTGATAGTGTTAAATATGGAAATGTTGCAAAATGTCCATTTTGCCAGATGACTTTCTAAGAAAATGATGCTAAAGTAGGCTCAGCTTTTCAAAAATAGGGGGTAGGAGCTGGTCAGGGCAGGGAAGCGAGGAGAAATCACATCTTACACAATGCACTTCCACTTTTCCATTTTGGCCCGCCCTATTTAGAGATCATTTCTCTCGTCCTAATAACCTGATCAGACATTTTGGAAAAGTTCTTTGAAATAGCAGCGGTTGAAACAGAGACATTTCTCCACGGTATGGATGGGATTTTCTCACTGGTATCACATGGCCTTGCAGCTTTGAACTCCTCCACCGATTTGTGTGGGTTTATGTAATTGTGTGCAATCAACCTGAAATGGCGTGAAGAACAAAAGGCCAATTTATAGGGTTTTGTGAGTGTTTTTTCCCAACTTGGGAAAAGCAGTTTAGCCGCATCTGGGGCTTATATTACAAGGTGATCAAGTGAAAGAAAACCTTGAGCCCATCTGGCTGGGATGGTGGAATTAAGCACAAGATCACATCCTCGCTCACATGAGCGGGAAGGTGAGGGCTTAACTGGGAAGGGTTACCTTGGGGAGGGGCTGAGAAGCACAAACGATAGGCTTGCCCGGGCGTGTTGGTGGCGAGCATGCACACGCGTCTCCAGGCTGGATGGACTTCAGCTTCGAGTTGAGGTTGAGGCGAGAGGATCTCAGATCAGCCACCCATCCACGAGAAAGATGCTGAGGCTCGAGGTCCAGGTTTGGGTCTGAGACATGCTGATGCTTCAGGGAGAAATATTTTCACCCCACCCTCCTCCCCCCAGAAAAGAAAACAATACTCTCTCCTGGAAACCTCCAGATAAAGACATTTAATCATCATATCAGTGGCCTATAATGACCCCTCAAAATAAGTTCTCCACGCAAAAATGTCTTCGCAGGAATCCTTTTCTGTGCCGTCAGGTGGTTATTTCCGAGCTTCAGGAGAGTGGAAGGGAAAATGAGCCCCAGAAGGGCAAGGAATTCTCTTAAGAAAAGAGCAGCTCTCTTTCAAACAACACCGCCGCCGAAACAACAAAAAACCACATTTTATTTCAAAGCTCTGTAGCACGGAGAACATGGCATCACAGTTACACCTCCAAGAGAGAAATTTCTATGTGAACGGGGGAATTTCAGTGTCTCATGGTGACCAAACCCTGATATGAAGGATGACAAGAGATCACCCTAAGCATCCTTGATACAGCGGCATGAGAAGTTTCAAGTTTCTACTTAAATCGTTTTACGCGAAGTCTTGCTTCAGTCCGATGGGATGAGATGGGATGTCCTGGAGAGATATATATAAAAACGAGTGTGGTACCCTTTCTTTCAGATGGAACTGAAAGCTTTACCTTATTGCAAGGGGAGGTTAAAGCACCCCTTGTGTTTTAACTGAGCACAAAAGCCTCACAAGCTATGAAGGGAGGGCCTCCATCTGCCCTTGGAGTCCTCCCTGCACGTCACAGACCTGTTTCAGGCTGATGTTTCTGGTGTGTAATCGCTAGTGTTTCCTAAGCGTTTCCCCACTCATTTTAGCCTCGTGGAGTGTTCTTTTCTTAATCTTAACTTGTCTTTTCAGTGATGGTACATGACCTGGTTCAATGTTTGCTTCTGGACTTATAAACCCATGCATTTAGGCATCTTAACATAATTTGACAAGGCCTTGGTAGGGAGCCGTACATTTTTGTAACGTTTTGATATGTTTTAATGCACCTGACTTAGCTCTGATTGAAATAAAGCACTTTTCAAAGAGAAGTCCCCTCGTGAATGGGTCTGTGTGTGTCTGCTGGGTGGGGAGCTCTGTGTTGTGAGAGGGTGTCGGTATGTTTGGGGACAGGAATGTGAAGGTACCCCCAGGAGATAAGTTAATTTCCTTCCCCCAGAGTTTATGGTTTGAATGTGCTTGAGCCTGGCCGTCATGTTCCCAATGGAAAGTGAGATGAGAACACCCTGTGTTGAGTCTCTAGTTGAGGCCCCAGGGGAGCCAGGTGTTGTGGAAAGAGCTGGAAACTACTATTCACTGAAGCTGGATTTTCACCCCAACTCCACCCCTGGCTCTTTAGGACCTGGGACCAACTCAATGAACGTTTTTCTAGGTCTTGGTTTTCTCACTTGTAAAATGGCCAAGCCACACACTGCAGGGTCTGGGGACCTGGGCTTGCCTCTGGTGGAAGCAACCCCCCCAAGGCCCCAAAGAACAAAACTTCAAGTCCAACCCAACAGGGGGGGAAAGGTAAATTTAAAAGGTCAATTTGGCTAGACCATGGTACCCAGATATTTGGTCAAATGCTAGCCTAGATGTCGCTGTGAAGTTATTTTTGAGATGAGATTAACATTTAAATCAATAGACTTTGAGCAGATTACCCTCCATGATGTGGGTGGGCCTCAACCAATTAGTTGAAGACCTTAAGAGAAAAGACTGGGGTTCCCAAGGAAGAGGAATTCTGCCTCCAGCCTGCCTTTGGGCTCGAACTGGAACTTTAATCATGTGAGCCAATTCCTTAAAATAAATTCTCTCTTCTCTTTCTTTCTTTCTTTTTTTTTTTCTTTTTTGAGACAAAGTCTCACTGTGTTGCCCGGGATAGAGTGCCGTGGCATCAGCCTAGCTCACAGCAACCTCAAACTCCTGGGCTCAAGCAATCCTACTGCCTCAGCCTCCCAAGTAGCTGGGACTACAGGCATGCGCCACCATGCCTGGCTAATTTTTTTTTTCTATGTATTTTTAGTTGTCCGATTAATTTCTTTCTATTTTTAGTAGAGATGGGGTCTCGCTTTTGCTCAGGCTGGTTTTGAACTCCTGAGCTCGAACAATCCGCCCACCTCGGCCTTCCAGAGAGCTAGGATTACAGGAGTGAGCCACCGCGCCCGGCCCTCTCTTCTCTTTCTATACACACACACACACACACACACACACACACACACATCCTATTTGTTCTGTTTCTGTGTCTCTGGAGAACCCTGACTAATACAGAGGGGTGATGTGGTTGGTCCAGAAAGTCCAATATGTGATTGACAGTTGTCATCCTAGGAAACCTGGCATGAAGCATGAATAATGACCATAATAATTTGGCCTCTAGAGGAAGCTAACAGCCAAGACAAGATTTTTAATGATGCCTTCCCAAACAATGTATATTGATATAAAAGAAGAAAGAAAGAGAGAAAAGTTTGAATAAATCACATTTCCCTTTGAGTGTTGCTTCCACTTCCTATATTTAGTGTTTGTAGTCCAAAGCGATAGCTCTTTGATTGCTGCCTTAACTATGTTGGGCAAAACAGGTGATCAGTCAGTTAACCCTTCCAAGGCAGTCAGACTTTTGTACTGCCCATCATGATGTAGGTGATACAGACAGAACATAAATGGTTCCTTTGGGAATCTCACCAAGACCCCCAATCAGGCAGTAAGCCTTAGAGAAGCTAGAGTGTCTAAGATCACCCAACAAATTCTAATAATTGCAGTCTGCCAAAGGAGCCAGCAGTTCTTGGCTTGCTTAATGGAAACAGATTTTATGAAATAATTTGATATTATCTATTTTAGGTAATAAAGTTATCACTGAATGGAGTTTGCTGCGAGTATAAGACTTTACTGTGAAA